GAAAGTGAAAGATTTTTGCTTATCACCGTGCGAATGTCTCCCTGCATGTTGAGGGGCAATGTTTCCAAATCGTAGTAATATTGACGAATCAGCCATTGAAGATGACTCATTCCTTCGCATCTTGTAAAGACATGAAAGAAACGGACAACTGTTCAACAATATTACCCAACCTTTGTACTCTTCACACTCATTTATCTTCCAACTGTCACTTCTAGCTATGCCATCTTTTAAGAATGTTCACATATACACATGTACTCTACGGCAATCAAGAGCAAAGTGATGTTTTGTTTAAAAAATAATGCTCATGTGGTCAGTACAGACTCGAGGAGTCGTTGCTCATTATGTTTGTATTCTTTTTTCGTAGTAGTCCACTGCATCTTCTAATTTATGCTCTAAAAACGATATTAGCACAAAACTGAATCTGAGTCGGGACAATGAAACACAGACGTTGTCGCGCACTTCTTTAATTCAAAAAAGTCAGAATCCTTGAAATAGATATAAGTCAAATCCTTCATACAAAATTTTGTTCGCATATTACGTTGTGCTATCAGTATTTCAGTCATAAATTTCTCCACGTTTCACTTTCTGCGCGTCAAATTTCTGATTTCATGCTCAAGTTATATTACCATAAGCTTTATTCAATTTTCGGGATCAACAACTGCACGCACATATTCTCAGAAAAAAAAATCTGCTATTAGAATGACAACAATTGTTTATTTATTACATAACAATCAGCCCTTAAAAAGTTTATATTTCGACATGGGCTCTAAACAAAAATTTGACCTCTTCTAAATCATGTAGTTAAAATTTAAACGCTTATCTGTTTCCAAATTGTTCTCAAAATACTAATATAAATGTATGTCTAAAAAATATGCCTATGAAAAGATACATATTTCTGAATCAGTAATAAAAAAAAGTCATTAAAAGAAATTACAAAATAAAGTTTAAGAAACTATTTGTTTTAGCATTCAGTCTGTTCTTGACCAAATTCAAACTTTTCACATAACATGTTTCGATGTCTTGCTATTAACTTTTTCATTACAAACTCATTTTCCCAACTTCGCATCTAACTAGAAGCAAGCATTTACTTGATAGCCTAGCAAACATTCCTTCTTCCAGGGTGTTTAAAAACACTAGGCTGCACTGTTGTCATAAATATGTCAAATTCTTTATACATTCTCTTATACTATTTTAAAAGACTTGAACTTTGAAGTTTACTCAGTTCTTGTTTTTAATAATTTTGTGAACTACAAAAAATAAAACACATATCTATTGCTAAAAAATAATGTTAGAACATCACAAAAACAATATTTAAAAAAAAACATTTTAATTTTTTGTTTTATAAAACTTCCTGTCTATCAGCAGAACTATGTCTGCGTTTAAGCTTCTCAAGTCTTTTTTCTTCACCCCATTCATTGTCATTGATATGCTTCAATAACTCTTCTTTGCTAAGTGTCCACTGACTCTGCGCGAAATTTAATTTCATAAAATGCATCATATGTTTATATTTAAATCACGACTTTAAGATATCAAAAATGGTGTTATGAATTCATTAGAACACAATAGTCTAGGTCTTTCAACAAATAATAAAATTCTTAACTACATGTAATATACGCTATTTATGAAAGAAAACCTGAAACATTGCGAAAGTAAAACCTGAAAAAACTGCGAAGTAAAACCTGAAACAGAAACTTGAATGTTACGAAACCAAATCAAACTCACCTCAATCCATAATTTGAAAAGATGATCCAAAATCAGTTTCACAACTGGCCCAGAAGGAACTTTGTTACGCAGTAAATCAACTCCACCTACTGGAAATACTGGTGCTTCCCACATACTTAACTCGTTGATGAGTTTATCTTCGGCCATAACATACTTTGCTAATTCAATTACCTTTTCTCGAGTTGTTTGAACTTTTTTCCCTTAAAAGTCAATTGAAATTAACCATATTCTCACTCTCGTGATTTCTAACTCAACAAAGTGAAAATCATGAATGATTTACATATAGTTAGATTTCGTGCACAAATTACCTGAATATAGTCAGAAAGTATGATATTAAAAAAACAGAAATTTTATCCATACTTGTAAATTTATGCAATCGTTCTTCATGCAGTAGAACATTTTGGAAATACAATATTGAACACGAATTCTCTTTTGCCTGATCACGAAGATTTAATATAAATTCAGCAAGACTTTTCTCAGCATAGGATAATTTGCATCTGCAAAATAAAAAAATAAATCTACATAATAAATCCTTGACAATTTAGTACAATACGCTTTATATTAAAATATAAATGTCATGGATAACTAATTTATGTATCGACGAAGTTAAATTTAAGCTCTGAATTACAAATTCAAATTCCACTTTTCCCCATTTCACATTTGAAATAAAGATAAGACCTTTGATGAAATACTTCAATTTGTTCAATATCAGTGAATAACGATGATAACAAAGTCATTGCTTCTATGTTTGGAGAGAAACGTTCATAAAGTATGCAAAAGTAAGACGTTTCAGCATTTTCTGGAAGCCCTAATAAAGAAGCCAGACCACACTGTTGAAGCATAGTAGTTAGTACATCGCCACCCAGACGACCAACACAAATTTTTTTCAGTTCCATCCAGATACGTTCACCACTTATATCCTCCAAACAGTTACAGATGTGACTGCGAAATGATAAGATTTCAAAACACAGTTGTCGACTATTTAAAAAAATCGAGATTAACAAAATGGCAAATAGGTCCCATCGATTTAGAAGTGAATTACTCAAACTATTTCTTATCATTTTGAATATTATTTCTGATAAAGCTAAACTTTCCATTTTAGGTATTTAATCAGTATGAGTATTATTAATTATTGATGCAAAAAAACAAACAAACAGAATACTTGGCACCAAGATTTAAAAAATGAAAATAAGCAATCAATATTTCTTGCATATTTTGTGCTTTTTAAACGTACTTTTAGACCATCTTTATTTATAGTTATGGCCTCCAATGTTGATTTTTCATGTCTTTTACCATCTAAAGCCAATCGGCCGAAAAAACGAAAATATCGTAAGATTCTTAAATAATCTTCCTGCAAAAGTCTTACTTCATCAAATAAAAAGCAAACAATCATATACACTGTGTTTTCAGTAAAAATAATACCACATACTCTTGATTTCTTAGTTGATGACTTTCTTTCACTCATGATTTAATATTAACATGACAAATTTTTGAAATCTGAGACCTGAATTCTTTGATTTGCATCACCAACAAAAATGATCCTTCGATTTTCCAAATCATTTATTCCACCAAAATAATCAATTACAGTACCATCAAAATCTGCAAAAGCAGTAAGAAAACTTTTGTAAAATCCCATAATTCCAAGTTTACAGAGATGCAATCAAAAACTTCAGTATTCGTTCTCTCTGATTGTTAAACTATTGTTTAGGAAAGAAAATTTCAAATAAAAAAATTGAAGCACCTAAAAAAAGAGAATTTACTGTCAAATCACGCCTATTTGCGTCAAGTTGCCAGTCAGTTGTGAACTCAACTTCTGCTCGACGACCATCGCAAAGTATATCAATCCTGAAATTAAATGCACAACACAAGTTGATCGATAAAACAAAGCAAAATTTTCTAGTGCTTATTACATTTGATTGCGTGAAATACAATAGATGATAGAGTACTTAAAATATGATAGAAATTATATGTCTGATAACAGTTTTAAACCAGTTAACTCATATGGATTCTAATAAATATCGAATCTTGGATTGATATACTCAATATATTCTAATTTTTTCACACTCAAATAAAAATGATTTACTATAATTAAATTGCCGTTACACTGAAATATGCTTATTGCATTATTACAAATCATAAAATCGAAAATTTTACATAGACCTTATTTACACTCAATTTCCAAAATTTAAACCTTAATGTTGTAATTTCAAAGTTCTCCTTATCATCAATGCGGCAAGTAACAGTACCATGTTCCTCGCCGTTCTTATTTAGCATTCGAACTTCTTCACGAGTGAACATTTCCTGAAATCACAAGATTTTAAAAAATAATTTTTGAAAAATCAGTTCATCATTTGAAGATTTAAAAAAAAGTGAACGCATTTTATTTTTTCTGCTGATATAGATCGATCTACATCTTAATTGACAACAATCTATAACAACAAGCTCTAATTCTTTCAATCTGTTTAAACATTAGTGAGCTATTCATAATACTGCACTTTGTCAATGTTTACAACATGGAACACACATTGTAAACACAGGTAGCTGAAACCACTAATAATACTTTGAAATTTAACTAGCCTTCATTTCCTCAGGTGTTGCATTAGTAGCGAAGTCAACATCAACAGGTTTAATACCCATCAGAAGGTCACGAACTGCACCACCAGCCATCCTGTAAAATGTCAAGAATGACAAAGATGAAAAAATCTAGATTCAGGATCTGTTTGAAAAAGGAAACAAAAGATTTTTCAGTAATTACAGACTCTATTTATTATTAAATGCTCATTATTGAATAATAATTGATTAACAGAATAGTATTGAGTACCAAACACTACTCAATTCTACACACTTAAACAATCAAATCTTTCAAAGTAAACCTAATGAAGTTACAAGCAATATTTTAATGCCCTGAAGACCTTATTTCCCGAATAGCGAATTGACTAGGTGATTCATTCATTTACAAGAAAAATATAGAACAAATTTTCAATTTAAACATTTACAATCTCAGTACAGAAGTCTCTTCATTTACAGAAAACCGCAGAAATATACTTTAATAGCAAGCCACTGTTACTAGTGACAAAAAAATCACAGCCCTAAGATATTCGTAATATACGATAATACAAAAATGCCACTTCAAAATAAAATTACTAGTAGCAAATAAAAATACTCACCTTAACTGGAATTTGTTTTTAACAAAAAGATCATTTAGTTTATTGAGTTCCGGTGTGAATAGTGCCCTGAACTGGGGAGTATCAATTTTTCGAGTAATAGGCACAATCCTTTCTGAGATCATTTGCGGAACAATCAACTTACTTTTCCTGCCAGTAATAATTCGACATTGAGTTAAAAAACAGTTCAACAACCGCCCCTTCATTGAACTTCACTACCAACGCACATAAATTTACAACTGCTTCCAAGAAAATCAGATATGAATAAATGGAGCCAATTTATGTTAATTTCTAGGGCTTTCAAAATTCAACGACCAAAAGAGATAAATAATTATACTCTACATTCATCCCTTGCGTGAAAATACTAATATTTACTAAAATGAAGTCTAAGAACTATTGTCTTCATCTGTAATAAAATATGTGCAATCATCGAAGAAAAAGCTAACTTATATTCGAAATTCAAGAAAAACCAAACTTTACACGCCATCAAAAACTATTTCCACAGCGATAAATGGGCAAATACTAACAAAAGATATTTATGAAGAACTTGTTGAAACAGTATCATTGAAATCTAGGCTTCTATTCAGATGCAATTCAGAACAATTAAGAAGGATGCAGTGCAAACCAGCAGTGAAGCATTATTAAACATTCTAAATGCAATACAATCTCTTTTTCATTAATTAACGACAGGAAAGACAAACAACTGATTTTTCTATCATAGTGATGGCAAATGATTCCATTTGTACGAACAGAAGTAATTAACGGCACGATACCACTACCATGAAAAAAAAAAATCTTTAGTTGACATATCTAACTGTTTCAAATATTACAAAAGAATATGGAGATACAATTTAGCATAAGTCAACTACTAAGAATAAGAACAGAAACTTATTCTTTGATAAAATAAATAACCCGATGTTTACAAAGACAAAAACCCGAATCCAAATTAAAATAACTGAGCAAATAACGAATACAAAATGTTAAGTAAGAGAAGCCCTCAGAATCCTTCTAAAAATTTACATTTTGCTGCTTCAGCTAATATGCACCATGTACACATTCACCAAAGTTATTAAATTTGTAAAGTTTTTTCAGTTTACATTAGATGAAACTGAAATGAAGCCTTGGGAAAATGACCGCAAGAAATGATTACGGAGATGATAAAATATTTCATAACATACTTTTCCTAATTTTTCACTAGCCTTCCATGCTCATAATGCAGTTCTTGCAAAATATTCAGAGAAAAATAAACATAAGTTTAGATAAGAGATCGATGCTTAAGAAAATGATATCCCAGATAAATTCCAACTCCTAGCGCGGCAATGCCAGCTGACACGGCTATCACTTCACTAAATATTGACGAGCTGAAAATAAAATTATGGTTAACATCAAAAATTGTAGAACTTTGGGTTGTAAGGAAATTTCTAAACATACAATTCCGTTAAATCGGTAATAATCATGAACATTTTAACAGAATGTTTTTCACAGGAGACCAATAGCTGTCATTTTGCAAACTAAAAAATGTAGATTACATCTACTTTGTTAAAATTGAACATACTTGGATGAGTCGAAAAATCTACAGGTTCGTTTCGGCGTCATTGGTTCATCATCTACAGCAAAGTTTACATCATAGGATGACGCTGATGCATGCCTATCTTCTTTGAAGTCAAAATCACGTGTTTCATTCTCAACACTTCCTTCATCACATGCTACTTTCGCTATTTTATTAATCGATGCTTAAATTAGAGAACTCATATAAATTGAAAAAATTTCAGTCTAAAATCCGAATACTTATAAAATCTTTGTAACTCAGTAACTGAACTAAAATTAAATTTTGTACAAGAAAAAAAAAATTGTAAGCTATGATGGAGTGGCGACCACTTTTCTATACGAACTTTAGATATATTATATATATCTAAAGTGCATAAAATGATATAAAATACTTCTTTATGTTTCGAGGGTAAAGATACTCCTCCTTCCAATTTCAAAAATATCAACTTAATACAAAGATGTTGTTTATCAAAAATAAATTACAATAATTGCTAATTGAATAAAAAATGGATTTATAAATTTTATGATAAAAAACAATTATTTATGATAAATTTGACAGCTATAATGAATTCAAAATATGAATTTCATTTTCTCAATCAAATGAAGCATGATACTGTTTTGCAAATATATTTCTAGGAGATCAAATTTTAAATAAAACTAACAGCAATTTCGTGACGCTATCACGACTGATGTGGCTGTTACGGTCTTTTCAATTCGTCCAATATTAATTTTCTCTTTACTTTTTGCAGAATCAGCAGTCATACTGCTATCAGCATCCAATACATTAGGAGCTGAAAACTTTGGTGACGAGACAAACACAAAAAAAAAGTAGTTAACTCGACAGAAGTTAACCCCGTAAATGATTATTTGCGATCAAAAAATAAACGTAAAACAAAGTAAGAATATGGAAATGACAAAATGAAGATACATACAATTATACGAAAACTTAAATCTTCCTACAAAACCCAGCACCAATAAAATGAAAATGCAAGGCTTGAAACTAATTTAAAAAAACTTACATCCATCACCTTCTAAAAAGGAGTGGTCATTTTTCGTATCCTCCACATGAGACATAATTTGCAACCCGTAGGTATTCATGGAACCTTCCGATATAGCTGAAGTACTTTTGCTTGACGAATGTTTATGTTCGTCACTAGATAGATTGGAAGCACTCTCGTCTGAACTTGAATAGCCAGAAAGATAAGTTGGTTTCTGGAAGAAGGATTAAGGTGCTTACAAAAGAACATGCCATTTCTTTTTGGTTTTACATGACAACAGAGTAATAAACTCATATTTTTCATGCTACCTAACAGTGCAATCAATTCAACTAAAAACTGCACTGAATCGAATATAAGGAATATGATAGTTACTACAGATGGAACATCAAGGAAATTATAAGTTAAGAGTACATGAATAAGCTTTTTAAAATTGAAAAAAGGTCCACGAGAATCTTAAATAAAAAACTTGAAAAATGATACAAAAATAATTCAATGGAGATAAAAATTAGTGCCTGCAACTCTAAGCCTAAACTGAAAAGATTAATGTTAAAGATTAAGATAAAAACGAAATTTAAGAACTTAAACACGGTCTGAATGTGCTAATGATACATGTGATCCAAAAATAATGTACTAAATACCACTTTAGTGAAAGTAATTTCAATTACCAAAACTCACTGAAAAGTTGCAGAAATGCATTTTAGAAACACGAAAATGCAAAAGTAATAGGAAGTAACTGGAGAAAAATATACAAACAAACTGATAACATATCTTAACCATAATGTGCGAAATCACGTACACTGCATAAAAGTATTTAAATAAAAAGGAAAATAAAAACAATAACCAAAGCATTTAATTACATAACATGAATGAGTACTTCCTTTATATATAGAATATCAATTTTTTAAAAACAAATAATGGATGGACAATTCAGTGAATTTTTTCAATACGAAAACCATTTTAAGATCTACCCGAATTAACAAATCATGATCTTCACACGTAACAAGAATTCAATACTTCTCGTCACTTTAATGAGTTTGAAATGAAGTAATTCAGAGAGCCAACAAAGAAAATGCATGTGCATGATGAAAGCATGTGACTATTCTTATTTTCGTTTAATATGATTCCATCACATTACACAAGAATGGCGACTCTTCTAAAATCCAAGTACAAGAATACCAATTTTTGCTAGCTGATTTTCTTATTTACACTACTATAGACAATCTTCAAAACAAAATTTTGATCGGAAACAGGACAAAAACTGAGTATACTAAAAACTGCGTAGTTGATCGATGTATTAAGAATGCAGCAAATATAAAATATTAAAATTTCATGAACCTGCTCTGATCTGCTTTTTAATTAAATATTTCAAAACCGTTCCCTTTTAATTAATTACTGAGCAAAAATAAGATATATCTACCGCGTAAATCACTTCAAGGAGCAAAAAATCTCATGCAAACGAATTGATACGTACAGTAAACCAAAAAGTAATAATAACGAAGTTCCATTTTTTGGATCTGTTAATGAAAAGTTTACTGATATCGAAAGAGTTTCTTGAATCCAAATAAAAAAAAACTCAAAATGCATAAATGACAAACAAATTACTAGAAACTGCACTTTCTTCTCTAATTCTCTCCGAATGAAATTCACATAACCTTCTAAACTGATGAAAC